TAAAAAGAAAAAATACATTGAATATTGGGGGAGACCTAAAGTCCCTATTACAATCTAAATACATCATCATCAAAATCTATAATATTTTTCCCAACAATTTCCCCCTTTTTGATGATGACAAACAAGTGTTCAAGAGTTCCGGTCGCTGTACTGAGAACTAATTTTATAACTTTCTTTTAGTTTCTCATAATATACAGCTTGTTAACAAAAACTCTTAAACAAATACAATTCAAATTACAATAATTCCTAAACCAAGTCTTGTCTTGAGATTTGTGATATTTTCTGCCATTTGCCGCTTTCACTTCCAGCAGATTTTGCTTGGTAGTACAGATGGCGGTGCGTTTGATAGATCTTTAATATCCAAAGTGGATATTTTAGATCTAGGAAGCAACATCTCTCCAAAAAGCAAAAACAAGAACAAAAAGAAAGTGGAGGGAAAGGAGGCGGCGGTGGAGGAAAAAGAAAAAGATAGAAAGACAAGAAGAAGGTTTTGGAAAAAATAGAATTGATTGTGAAAAAGATAAAATAAGGGTTTTTAAAGATGAAGGCAAAAATAAAATTTTGAAAAAGGATTTAAAGGATAAATATGGTTCAACGCCAAGGGCACGCCATGAACGCGTACTTCCAACGCGTTAACTACGTCCCCCCACCGTACCATGGCACGTTCTTTGGGCAAGTATACGGTGACGAGGACGAAGACGATGCCTCCTACGCCCCGTCAAGCTCTCCGGACGAAGATGAGTTCGACGATGCCATCGATGGGGATGAGATGGACGTCGACGACGATGAAGAAACCGGAGGCGAAGAGGAGGAAGACGAATTTACGCCTATGTCGTACTAAGCCGTGTTCGTCTTATGACAGGTTTTGATAATGCCAAACCGCCGTGACCATAACAAGGCTAAAGTGAGAAAAACCAAGGCGAAGGAACATGGCATGATGATTTGAGAACCAAGAACCAAGAATCAAGAACCAAGAATTAGAATTGTATTGAGTCGGTCTTAATGTGATCAAGACCGGCACAAACTTTCAAATCTTGCCTCTCTAGGCTTCTCTCATCAAAATATCTTTTGCATATTCAAAAATGTTTTTCTTAAGTTTTAAACTGCCTAAAAACACTTGGAGTTCGCCCAAACCAAAAACCAAGCCATCCGGCGTTCGGTCTTCGGAAACCGGCGTTCGGCTTTTGGTTATCGGCGTTGGTTTTTGGCGTCCGAACCAACCAAGTGGTTTTCATTTTTTAATGATTGGTTTTTACTTCTGGGCATGTTTAAATAGTTCTCCAACAAAAACGCTTCAAAAACCACCTTTCGTTTTTGGTCGTTTAGTGAAAACCATGCGAAACGGCGTAAACTTGGCTAGCCGTGGTTTTCAACTAAATGACGTGGTTTTCAAAATGTTTTACTTGATTTCTTAGCAAAATGCATTAAACAAACATTTTCAATACTTGGTTTTTATTTTGGAGAACTTACATTTTTGACATCGGCTAACGGCTGACTAAACCAACCATGGGTCTGGCTAAACCAGCCCAACAGCGATGTTGGTGAAACCAACAGCGCTGTCTGGCTTGGGTGGCTGAAAACCATGGTTTGGCGTTAAGTCTTCCAACAGCGATGTTGGATGTTAGACATCGCTGTTGAGCCAAGGGTTCGTTGAGGTTCGTGTAACTCGAACTCTCAAGTTGTACGGGTTTGTTAAGCACCGTTAAGCTTAACGAGATAGTTGTGTAGCTCGAGAGAGTCTCTCGGGAGGCTGGATTAGCCACAAGTTGTGGTGAACCAGGGTAAAATCGGTGTGCCTCTTTATTGTCTCTTTACTTCTCGTTTATTCATTTTTATTCCTGCGATTTCTTGATCAAACGCTATTCACCCCCCCTCTAGCGTTGGTCTATTGTTCTAACAGATGTACTCATGGGGACAGAAACGGATGACTTCTGATCAACTTTAAATTTCTTGATAAGATCCCTTGTGTACTTGGCTTGGTTGATGAGAGTCCCTTCACTTCTCTGTTTGATTTGAAGACCAAGGAAGTAGTTGAGTTACCCCCATCATGCTCATCTCAAATTTTCCTTGCATGAGAGTTGAGAACTTGGTGCAAAGTGCTTCCTTAGTTGATCCAAATATGATGTCGTCCACATAGATTTGGACCAATAAGAGATCTTCTCTATCTTGTAGTTTGAATAGTGTCTTGTCAATGACTCCTTTGATGAATCTATTATCTATGAGAAATTGAGATAATGTATCATACCAAGCTCTTGGAGCTTGTTTGAGTCCATATAGTGCCTTCTTGAGTCTGTACACTTGATCACCTTTAGTGTGTAGCTCAAATCCTGGAGGTTGTTCCACATAAACTTCTTCCTCTAGGTTTCCATTGAGAAATACGCTTTTGACATCCATTTGATAGACTTCGAAGTCTTTGTGAGCAGCAAAGGCTAGAAACAGCCTTATAGCTTCAAGTCTAGCAACTGGAGCGAAGGTTTCATCAAAATCTATACCTTCTTCTTGACAATATCCTTTGGCAACCAACCTTGCTTTATTTCTGACAACAACGCCGTTTTCATCCATCTTGTTCCGGAGGACCCACTTTGTCCCAATGACATGTTGATGAGTAGGTCTGGGAACAAGTTTCCAGACGTCATTTCTGGAAAATTGGTTGAGTTCTTCTTGCATTGCATTGATCCAATCAGAATCAGCTAGAGCTTCTTCAATATTCTTTGGTTCCACTTGTGAGATGAAACAAGCAAGCATAGCTTCTAGATTCTGTTGGGCACTCCTTGTGCGAACACCAGATTGAATATCTGCAATGACTTGTTGAGGAGGATGATCCCTTAACCAACGAAGATTGTGTTGATTAGGGTTGTGACAGGTTGATCTAGTTCAGTTTCTGGTTGAAGAACAGAGTTTGTTGGTGATTCCGGATGGATTGGCACTGGGTCGCCATTTCCGGAATTGTTGCCATTTGAGTGATCTGGGATATTGGAAGGCTGGCCATGATTTTTGGTAGACTCAGCACTATCTGAATCCGGATTTCTTGGTGAAGTCTTCAGTGGTAGACTTCCGAATGGAATGAACTCCGTAGGCTTCATTCTATCTCCTTCATGATCATGCTTTGATGGTTTGTCAACCACATGTTTTTCATCAAAAATAACATGTATTGACTCTTCAGTGATCATGGTTCTTTTGTTGAAGACTCTGAACGCCTTGCTCACCACGGAATATCCAAGGAAGATGGACTCATCTGATTTCTCATCAAAAGTGTTCAGATTATTCTTTCCGTTGTTTAACACAAAGCACTTGCTCCCAAAAATATGGAAATATGATATATTAGGCTTTCTCCCATTCCATAGTTCATAGGGAGTTTTGTTATGCCTTTTATAAATCATACTCCTATTTTGAGTATAGCAAGCTGTGTTAATAGCTTCAGCCCAGAACCTCTTTGGCAAAGAAGCTTCGGCTAGCATGGTCCTCACTGCTTCCTTCAAGGTTCTGTTTCTTCTTTCAGCTACACCATTTTGTTGAGGCGTCCTTGCTGCAGATGTCTGATAAAGAATTCCGTTTTCTTCACAGTAGTGAATGATGATTTCATTCAGGAATTCTGTGCCTTTGTCAGATCTGATCTTCTGGATGGTCTGACTTGCTTGGTTTTGAATCAGCTTCATGCAATTTGTGAGCTTTTCTTGAGTTTCCTTCTTGCTGTTGAGAAAGATTGTCCACGTGTATCTTGAGTAATCGTCAACTACCACCAGGAGATATTTCTTTCCACTTAGACTTATTGGCTTAATAGGGCCAAATAAGTCCATGTGAACAAGACTTAATATCCTTGTAGTTGAGGGTGCCAGTTTTGCCTTGAAAGTAGACTTGACTTGCTTTCCTTTCTGGCAGGCATCACAAACGCTTTCCTTCTTGAATACAGCTTTGGGAAGGCCTTCTACTAGCCCTTCTTTGGATAGCTTGTTGAGAGTTTTGAAGTTGAGATTACTCAACCTCTTATGCCAAAGCCATAGAAGGTTAGTGTCACCCTTGCTGATTAGGCATGCTTCCTTGACATCGTTCCACATTACTTCATAGATGTTTCTGATTCTCTTCCCAGTGAGAAAGACTTCATTTGTGGAGATGTTCTTGAGGGATGCCATGTCCTTGCAGAATTCCAAGGAGTAACCTTTATCACAAAACTGACTTATGCTAAGAAGGTTATAGTTGAGACCTTCAACATAAGATATAGCTTGGATGGTTAGTCCCTTGTACACCAGATTTCCTAACCCTTTAGTAAGGCCAAAATCATTGCTTCCTCCAAAGGTAACTCTTGGACCATCATAGGGGATTAGATTGCTCAAAAGGCTCGCATCACTCGTCATGTGTCTTGAACAGCCACTGTCTAAGTACCAGACACCTGGGTACTTAGCGGCTTCCTACATTAGGAGGAGGAAGATTTTGGTACCCAATTCAGTTTGGGTCCGGAATAGTTAATGGTGTGTGTCCCTACATCAAGTTTGAAGTTGCAGGGAATTTTCCTTGCAGCTCTAAACTTGTTGGGATTGTAATCATAGTTGTAGCCATAAAACTTCCTACGTGCAGGTGGTGCTATTTTCTGTTTCCTCCTAGCAAACTTAGGTTGATAAGACCTATAGTTTTGTCTAGGTTGTGCATAGTGTGGCCTGTGACGGTTGTAAGCATACTTAGGTGGAACAAACATTTTATGGGGTGGAGGATGACTATATCTTGGCATAGTTCTCCACTCAGAGTTTCTCGGAAAATTCCTATCTACCCCATAGTGAGTATAGCCTCGTGTATAGTGGGGGTTGGAGGGTTTTCTTCTGAAATTATTTCCTTTTTGACGTCTGTCCGGCTTCCTATAGTTCTTAGGAGGGACTGCCTTTTTGGGAACTTTTGTTGGTTTCTCCTTCTCCTTTCCTTTCTACTTATTTGGTTTGGCAGTAGGTTTAGGAGGGATAAAAGTTGTTCTCCCTTTCCTTTTGGAACTGGAGGGGTTAAACCCAAGTCCTTCACGACCATTTTGTTTAGTCGTTTCAAGAAGCTTATCCACTGCTTCTTTGGACTTAAGAAGATGAGCAGGAGGTTTGTGAGGTTACCTCTTGTTCGGCATCATCTTTGGCCATAAGGCAGAGTGTGTTATCTTCTGACATAGTCCACCGGTCCTCATGGTTGGACTTCTCAGCTTTGCGCTCCATGCAGACGAGGGATTCTTCATCTGAGCTTGAACTGGATGACTCGTCACTTTCAGCTGCAACCATTGCCTTCTTTTCTTCTCGTTCCTTTCTCTTTCTCCGTACTTCTCCACTTTTGGGTACGGGCATGCTGACTTCCAATGACCAGGCTTCCTGCAGTTATAACATAAATAGGATTCAGGAGGGGAGTCACTTACCTGTGGCTTTCCCTTGGATGGCCTTCTGACTGAGTCAGCTTTCTTGAAGAACTTCTTGAACTTCCGGAGTTGTTTGACCATCATGGCAAATTCCTCATCGTAGTTCTCCATCTTTGAGCTTGACGGCTGGCTGGAGGAAGGTGTGTCACAGTTCCTTGTGCATGTCCCTTCACTTGATGGGACTCTTGGAGTTGTCATTAACGCCGTGGGGAAGGGAGTGACTTGTTCTTCCTTCTTCTTCTTCAGCTCGTGCTCATAGGTTCTGAGCTCATCAAGGAGACCTTGGACTGTGTAGTTCTCCAGGTTTCTTCCTTCTTCCATGGCTGTGGCTTTGGTGTACCACTCAGTTGGAAGAGATCTCAGTAACCTTACATTCTTTTCTTTGGGAGAAAGAACGTGGTTAAGTGATGCAAGATCATTTAAAATTTTGTGGAATCTTTCATCCAACATATCAAATGATTCTCCGGGAAGCATTTTGAAGCTTTTGAACTTCTCAAGCAGGACTTCTATCTTCTGCTTTCTCAGGTCCTCTGATCCCTCACATAGCTTCCCAAGACCTTGCCAAATCTCCATGGCAGTCTTGAGATGCTTGATCTTGGAGAAGGTGATGGGATCAAGTGTCTTGAAGATGGCTGCTTTGGCGACGTTGTCCAGATTGTGCTTTTTGCAATCTCTATCATCCCATTTTTCCTTGGGCTTTGGAATGTACTGGACAACATCAGGATTGGCTGGATTCCTCTTAGGGTTCTCCATTTGGATTTTCTAGGGTCCATCCTCAAGCACCATCCACATGCAATCATGTAGGGCGTAAAGGTGTGCTTCCATCATGATCTTCCAATCATCATAACCTAGAAGAGAAAACTTGGGCAAACCGTGATCCATATTGTTCACCATTATGATTGCTTCTCGTTAGATTGTGTGCGGAATTTGGTGGGTAGTATGAGTAGTAATCAATATGGATGGGTTAGTTTTCACAGTTAATATAATTGCAAGTAAGAGTGAAGATAAAAGAGAGAGACACGCAAACTTTAACGAGGTTCGAAGGTGGGGTAATCCTTCTACGTCCTCAAAATCCACTATGTAGTTGGTTGTTGAATAATGAACCAACAATTACACTTGTGTGAATTTCTGCACGGTATATCTTCGCAAGGCCAATGTTGCTACTGCACTCGTGCTGGCTTTGTTGTTCCTTCGAAGGTCACGCTTCTTCAACAACTGCAAGATCCGAACAATAGGACTTGCAAGATCANTTCTCCAGTCTTCCAAGGATGCTATTTATAGCTGGATTGGATAATCTATCCGTTGAATCAAAATAGACTATCCGTTGCATTTGCTGGCTTCAATTTTGAATGAAGATTGTGATTTGAAGATTCCTCGTTGGAATGGGTGTTTGGACATACCCAATTGTTTGAGGAGGGATTCCTTTTTCCACAGAATCCGTCTTCTAGCTGTTGTTCAAGAATTCTGGACTGTAGCACTTTACTCTGTTTGTCTTTTAGTGATTGTTTAGGAATTCTGGATAGGCTCTTCAATTTGAGAGGTCCAGACTTTGTCTTCAAGTCATTTGTTCTTGAATCAGCATAATTATCTTCAATCTAGCCGTTGAAAATCAAGAGATTGATTTTTCCTTACCAACGGGTAGAATTTCTTCATTCAAGACTTAGATAATTTTCTAAGTCTTTTCTCACTTGTCCGCTCCTGAGAGTTCTGGTCTTTCTGAGGCATCCGGTTCCTTTACTGACAAATCCGGAAGAGTCATTCACAGACTTCCGGGTGAGAAAGAGATCCGCGCTAGTCTTCCGATTTGGATGACTTAGCATTCAGCGGGTTGTAGCGAGACATCCGGGTATCATGTAGTCTTCCGGATTGGAGGATATTCATCTGCTTTGAGAAATCCTTACTTGTCTCTGACATTTCCGATCAAGATATCCAATTTCCATATCACTGAATTTGATTGAGTCTTCAAGTATCAAACCACTTAAAGAAATATCACAACTTTATTGGAAATCTCAAGAACTCGGTTTTAACAATATTTCTAAAAAGAAAAATTACATTGAATATTGGGGGAGACCTAAAGTCCCTATTACAATCTAAATACATCATCATCAAAATCTATAATATTTTTCCCAACAAGAATCACCTCTTGGAAAGACAAATGAAGATACAAATCGTTCCTATTGGGTTGATGGTTCACCGTCATGAGATTTTGTGCGCAAACGTTTACTGCCTCGACGATCCGATATGGTGGCTAGGGTTGGAGCACGAGAAGAACGAGAAACCCTGTAAGTTAAGGTGATCGATCCAGATAAGGGGATCGATTCGCCGTAAAAGACTACCTGCGCCGTTTAAGTCCCGGTGATCGATCCATCTGCTTGAATCGATCCACCGAATCAAAGCCTGAAACCAAATAAAACCATGGATCGATCCATAAGACTGGATCGGTCCTCCTGACGTTGGGCTGAATTCAGATTTGAGAAATTTGCCCAGGTGATCGGTCCATTGGGTTGGATCGATCTGCCAACTGGTACCTGCAAAAATCAGAAGCCTAGTGGATCGATCCTAGAACTTGGATTGATCCGCCGAAGTTTAACTTGAAAAAGCTTCGGTTTGGGTGATCGATCCAATTGTGGAGATTGATCCCCTCTGTTCCAGTTTCGAAAGATGCCCTGAAACACTGAAAATATACCCTGCAAAAAAGAATTATTGCGCCTCCGACGCTCAAATTAGTACCGTAAATAAAAAGAATGATTTAATTCATAGAGATTTCCAAAATGCCAAGTTCATTCCGAATGTGGAAGAAACTCTCCCTACTAAGGGGTTTCGTGAAAATGTCCGCCAATTGATGTTTCGTTTCAACAAACTCAATTGTGACATCTCCCTTTTGGACATGATCTCGTATGAAGTGATGCCTAATTTCTATGTGTTTAGTCCGCGAGTGAAGAACGGGGTTCTTCATTAGACTAATAGCACTCATATTGTCACACCTAATTGGGATGTGATCAAGTATAAGGCCGAAATCCACTAGTTGCTGTTTTAGCCAAAGAATTTGGGCACAACAACTTCCCGCAGCGACTTATTCCGCTTCGGTGGTGGAAAGTGCAACACTAACCTGCTTCTTACTAAACCACGAGATTACCAAATGACTGAATAAGTGGCAAGTACCGCTGGTACTTTTCCTATCGAGTTTGCAACCTGCAACAAGATGACATGTCGAACCTTTGGGATACCAAAGACCTACGTTCAACGTGCCCGCGAGATATCGCATTATCCTTTTGATCGCAACCAAGTGCGACTCTTTAGGACAAGATTGATACCTAGCGCATATACAAACGGAGTACATGATATCCGGTCTACTCGCGGTAAGATAAAGTAGAGAGCCGATCATACCTTGGTAGCGCTTGATGTCTACCTCTTTACCTTTTTCGTCCTTGTCGAGATAGCAAGAGGTGCTCATTGGTGTGTCAATGGATTTAGATTCGGTAACATCGAATCTTTTAAGTAGTTCCTTGCAATATTTTGTTTGACACACGAATGTCCCTTCTTTGCACTGTCTAATTTGCAGCCCAAGGAAGAACTTTAATTCTCCCATCATCGACATTTCAAACTCACTTTGTATAATATCGGAAAAATACCTGCACAAAACCTCGTTAGTAGCACCGAATATGATATCATCTACGTAAACTTGAACCAAAAGGATGTCTTGGTTATCTTTCTTGATGAAAAGAGTAGTGTCGACTTGACCCCGTTTGAACTCATGGTCCAAAAGAAATTTGCTTAACCGTTCATACCAAGCACGAGGTGCTTGTTTGAGACCGTAAAGCGCCTTTTTGAGTTTGAAGACATGTTCGGGAAACTCATAGTNCTACGTTTTCTCTTCTTCCGGTTCCTTTTCCTTAACGATTTCTTCTTCATCGTCATAAGAACCTGCAACATTATCAACAATACCTTTTCTCGCCAAGCGAGCATCAAATTCATCAAAGACAACATGAATAGACTCCTCTACGGTCTTAGTACGCTTGTTGAACACTCTATATGCCTTACTACGAAGAGAATAACCTAAGAAAATTCCTTCATCCGACTTAGCATCAAATTCCTTCTCTGGTCATGTGCTTGGAGCATCCGCTATCGAGATACCAAGAGGTACTCGAAGCCTTCAAGCACACCTACAAAAAGATATCAAGGAGACGGTTTAGGTACCCATGTATTGTTGGGTCCTTTTTTGTTAGCATATGTGTGATGTGTGTGCATTTGTTGGAAATGCCTAATTTTGGTGAAGCACACGGGTGCAATGTGACCTATCTTATTGCAATAGTGGCAAATAACATTTGGATTATTCATCCTATATGGTTGAGTGTAATGAGTTCTAGGTTTGCTCGGATGTGCTCTTCTAGTTTGATTATTTATTCTAGCATTTTTATTCCCCCTAGCTTTAATAAATGTTGTTTTTCTAGGTTGGTTTTTCTTATATCCAAGTCCTTCACCATTACTAACTTTTTGCTTAAGTATTTTATCTAAGGTGTTTGAAGCATTATTAAACTTTCCCAATTTGCTTTCTAAACTAGCAACTTTAGCTTTTAATGAAGTACAACTAGAGCATGTAGTAGATGAAGTAGAAGTAGGTTCTTGTGGCCTTTTTCCAAAAGAGATAATTTCTTGTTTAAGTTTATCATTTATATTTTTGAGTTCTTTGATATCATTCTCAAAAAATCAGGATTTTTTGCTTTATTTCATTTTTTTCTTTGGAAGCCTTTTTTGAACATTCCTACTAAATCTTCTACAATGCAAACAACATCATTAAGAGTTAAAGGATCATTGGGAGAAGCTTCTTGATAACTTACCTCTTTTGATGTTTCACCATCTTCAATGGCCATGAGACATAAGTTGGCCACTTCCTCAGTTTCCGAGTCTTCACTCCCGGAGCCGTCGTTCTCCCAAGAAATGTAGGCAAGTTGCTTCTTCGGCTTGTCCTTCTCATTCTTGAGCTTCGGACACATTGGTTTGATGTGCCCAATCTCACCACACCCATAGCACTTGGGTGGAGTGTTTGTTGTACCCGAGACCCGGGGTCTTAACGAGTAGCTATTTTGGAGAAGGATTTGCGGAGAAAAATGGATGATGGAATTGAAGGGGTAAAATATGGAGTATGGGAAAGAGTTCTTTTTGGTATTTTGATTTATGAAGATAGAATAGAATGGGGTTTAGGAAGAGAAAATGGAGAGGAATGAAATGGGCAGAAATAAAGTGAAGGGATAAACCAAGTTGGTGTTAAGAGATATGACACACCCTTATCTTAACTTGGAGCTTTTATCTTCTTTTACACATTAATAATCACTACTAATGTATAAAATTAGACTCCTAACACGCACTCAAAAGTAGCCAACTTTAGAGATATTTCATTAGGAAATTTGGTTAAAATAGCATCACACTATTTTAAAGTAATTACTCAAAAGAGTAAACAAGGTTTTTTAATTCAATAATCTGGTTCTGCTTACAATGACCATATGGCAGAAGTATTTATACAACAACAAATAAGGGGAAATACAAGAACAATGAAGGAAGAATACATCAAGGAAGTTTCCTACTTCTTTCCTACAAATCAATGCTTAATGCCCATCCATGTGAGTTGATTTTCCATGATGCTTCTCCTGATTTTGAGCTGATCTTCTTTGGATATATTTGGGTAGAAATTTCGTGCATATAAGGAGGAAAACAAAGGGGAACCAAGCTTTAGACTTTTGTGAATAAAATGCCAAAACAGCACTATTCATTCAATGACTTTGTTTCTGATTTTTGTTCCTTTGTTTCAAAAGTGATTATGCTTTTGTTTTGTGGAAGAAAAGGCTTTATTCTTTGTTGAAAATCAGGAAATAA